ATATATACATATATACATATATACATACATACATACATACACACACACATATACACACACATACATATACACACACACATACATACATATAACCTGTTTGTTCTAAAAAGTGGCAGACAGACAAGTCCACACAGGATTCCTTTCAACTGGATCTTCACATCTCAACAGTAACAAACCAAACTAACTATTTTATTTTAAGGCAAAGCAGTGAATTTGGACACACATACATATACACACACACATACATACATATAACCTGTTTGTTCTAAAAAGTGGCAGACAGACAAGTCCACACAGGATTCCTTTCAACTGGATCTTCACATCTCAACAGTAACAAACCAAACTAACTATTTTATTTTAAGGCAAAGCAGTGAATTTGGAGCCATAATTTAAAATGTTTGTCGTACTTACATTTGCCACGTCATTAACCAACTTGTACCAAAACCAGTCTGGGTGTGGATATCCTACACATTTACAATATATGAGAGCTTCATCTCCTTCATTTTTGTTCTCACTTTTTTTATGTCCAGTGATTTCTGGTGCAGCTGAAAATAACAAAACATCATTTTTACAGTCCATCTGATGACTAACTATGCAACAAGTCATTACCTCTCTTCAAGGCCAAAATGACCATCTTTGTAATCAGGGTGTAGCATAGTGAGAACCTGCAATAATACAGTACATTTACAAAGTATTCAGGCCCCCTTCACTTTTTTCAATTTGGTTATGTTGCAGCCCGATACTACAGTTGTTTAAATTCTTTTCTCATTAATCTACACTCGGTTACCCCATAATGACAAAGTCAAAACAGAATATAAGAAATGTCTGTGAACTTATTATAAAGGAAAAACTGAAATATCACATTGGCATAAGTATTCAGACTCTTTGTAACAACACTTGAAATTTAGCTCAGGTGCCTCCCATTTCTCTTGATCGTTGCGGAGATGTTTCTACACCTTGATTGGAGTCCAACTGTGGTAAATTAAATTGATTGGACATGATTTGGAAAGGCACACACCTCTCTATAGAAGGCATCACAGCTGACAAACACTGCATCAGACCATGAGGTCAAAGGAACGAGATTATTGCAAGGCACAGATCTGGGAAAAGGTTACAAAAAATTTATCTTCCACTTAAGGTTTCTAAGAGCACAGTGGCCTTCATAATTCTCAAATGGAAGAAGTTTGGCACAACCAGGACTCGTCCAAGAGCTGGTTGCCCGGCCAAACTGAGCAATCGGGGAAGAAGGGTGAACCCGATGGTCACTCTGACTGAGCTCCAGAGATCTCGTGGAGATGGGACAAAGTGAAGGAGAACCATCACTGCAGCCCTCCACCGATCTGGCCTTTATGATTCCTCCGTGCAAAACACATAAAAGCACGCTTGGAGTTTGCAAAAAAGCACCTGAAGGACTCTCAAATCATCTAGTCTGATGAAACCAAATTAAACTGCTTGGCCTCAATTCTAAACATAACGTCTGGAGGAAACCAGGCACTGCTCATAACCTGTCCAATACTGTCCCAACAGTGAAGCATGGTGGTGGCAGCATCATGCTGTGGGGGTGTTTTTCAGCAGCAGGGACTGGGAGACGGTCAGAGTTGAGGGAAAGCTGAATTAAGAATGAGATATCCTCAATGAAAACCTGTTCCACAGTGCTCGGGACCTCAGGCTGGGCCTTCCAACCATCCTAAGCACACAGCCAAGACAACACAGGAGTGGATTAGAGACAACTCTGTGAATCTCCTAGAGTGGCCCAGCCAGAGCCGTAATGTGAACCCTATTGAACATCTCTGGAGAGACCTGAAAATGGCCGTCCGACGGTCCCCATCCAACCTGACTGAGCTTGAGAGGATTTGCAAAGAATGGCAGAATTTCTCCCAATCCAGGTGTGAAAAGCTTGTCACGTCATACCCAAAAAGACTTGAGGCTGTAATTGCTGCCAAAGGCAATTGCTGCTTCAACAAAGTACTGAATAAAGAGTCTGAATACTTAAGTACATGTGATATTTCAGGTTTTTTCCGTTTAAAAAATTCAGACATTTCTAAAATTGTGTTTTCACTTTGTCAATATGGGGTACTGAGCGTAGATTAATGAGAAAAAAAGAATTTAAACAACTGTAGTATTGGGCTGCAACATAGCAAAATTGAAGAAAGTGAAGGGGGTCCGAATACTTTCTGAACTGAGCTAAAATGAAATCATTGAAAAAGTAAAATTCTATTTCTGTGCACAGAAGGCTTAAAAACTACATGTCAAGTAGATCAAATTAATGTATCTGACATTTATTTTCTCTAACGGACAGCTTTACTGCTGCATAACAGATAAAGATTAGGCCCATTTGTACTGCAGACTTTTACCACCCCCCAAAAAGTGATCTGTGGTGGACTGCTTTTCAGGGAGCAGTTAAGTGGCTTGTTCTGTTTTTTTATTTTTGGATCCAGAGAGGGATTTTGCATTGCACTACCATGCCACAACCACATGGCAAGCTGTTGGCATGTGGTTGCAGCACAGTCCTATTGATCTCAAAAGATAAGTTTGACAAGTGTCATTGCCTGCCAAAAAGTAACATGCTGGATAAAATTTGTATGTATTCCAACTCAAAACGGCCACAATATTAGGTTTTAGGTGGGTGGTATAAACGCAGACCAAATGCCTGTTTTTATTGCTCCTTTGCTGCACATGTAAAATGGGGCCTTATACATGGCCCCTGGTGTATTTAGGGAGATTGGTTACCAAAAGGAGACCTTAAAAATGCCACTTGCCTTGCTGCTTCTGATTTCAATACTTCCTTAGTCATTGAACAAATAGAAGTATGTAGAACAGGTATTCTGTTTGCTGCTCACACATTTCCAGGTCAGCGATTATGGAAATACTGAAGCTAGCGATAACTAGGAAGCTAGCATTTTCAGATATTAACCAATTAGGCTGAAATTAGAGGTGCACCGGAATAGAAATTTAAAAACCGAAATAAAAAAAATTGTCAGGCCGAAAAAGTCCTCTATTTTTCTGCAGCGATCACTGATCACTGACTGCTTGTACACTCTCCATTCTGAAACATACTGTCACAGGAGTGTGAGCGAGCGGAGCAGGGAGGAGAGCTCAGCCTCCTGTGACAGCACGGGCTGTCTCCGCCCCCACACCACTCTGCCGGACTGTGATAGGTGGCTGAGCGGTGTGGGAGGAGAGACCCCGGCTGCTCACAGCGCTCTTCTCCCGCAGTGCTCGGCCAGCTGTCACTTTCTCTCCTCCCCGCTGGGACACAGAGCAGTGCCCAGCGGGGATGAAAGAAACAAAGAATTCAAGTATTGCTGTCCAAACTGTAGAGACTGATCCTTTCAAATGCTGCTGATTAAGGCAATCCATGAATCCTGATTGCTTGGATTCAAAAAGTCTGAGGCTCTGCAAACTGTCCAAATCTGCAAGCACATATTCAGGATGACTAAACATCTTCAGTGCAGAGGAATCAAAACAAGGAGCACAGGGTTGGTCACATATTTTCATGCATAATTGACAAAAAATATATATAAAATCTTCTGACCAAATTTAGATTGGAACATTTGCTCTATTTGTACCATTGACATGTCACAAAGAAACCAGTTTTTCTCTTTTGGATGTCTACCTTTCACTTCAATGGTTGCATTGACTGATGGAGAACCGCTGGAAAAAGTAAATACACACAAATATTCTCCTGAATCGTCAGCTTTAGGTTTGGGGATCCTATAACCAAAACAAGCATTGTATGATTAGTTGTAATACAGATAAGTCACAACAGGCTGGGAGAATATTAATGCAACACATTTGTAAAAACTGACCAAGCCATAATTACAAAAGGAAACTACAATATACAATACAGTAACGAGGATAAATCAACGATTTTCAGGTTTTTGCAAAGTGAAACGGAAGCAAACAAAGAACATTTGCTAAACCACCATTTCTTTTGCGTTCATTAAAGGAAACAGCGCAGATCATAGAAGAAGTGGAACCACTGGGTTGCAGCGTCACCTGCAGGAGTAGGACGCTCGGCACAAACACAAAACATTCTAGGGGCGGCCTCTGCTGGTGACCAACCCCCAGTTTTATGCCAAGCGTTTTTGTCCTTTTATGCTACTTTTTAGATCTTTAAATACCAGCTGGGTGACACACTGGATGTTTTTAGGTCTTTGTAGTCCTATCCAGCGAGCACATGTAGATCATCATCACAGCAGGATTGCCCCCTCCTACTTTACCCAGCATGCTTCAGTTTGTAAGAAAGCAGTACAAGGATCAGCAAAACAACACAGAAAGGTGGGGAAATCTTGTTGTTTCACATCCATTGAGTGACACAGGAATTCTTAAACTGTCAGGATGTCCAAAAGCGATCAAACTGTGGGGTGGGCCAAAGCCACTAACAGGCCCACGAAGATTTTGAAACTCAGCAGTAATACAACGCATTTGAAGGACCAAAGCCCAAATAAGAGCCATTTGAGGAGAGAATCCAGCTAAATAGGTGACCTACCACTGATAAAGATTAACCTGGCATTCTGGACTAAAACAGGAACCACTACCAGGGCAATCAATCTTCCTGAAGGACCTTGAGCCCAAGCCAGCAAGGGCAGATACACCCAACCATAATTCAAACAAGTGGAACATATAACCTGAAAACAGCAATTAGACCAGACCAAATTGTGGTCAATTGGACAGACCAATGGGACAGCACCCAGAAAACAGGTTCTTGAAGAAAATGTGATCTTCAAACGTCCAGGGAGATGACCAGCCAGTCTACCTAGGAAAGGCCTCAGCCTTAACCCCTAAGATCAGGGAAAGGAGATGGAGGTTTTTGGTTACACAACTGAAAACACAGTCAGCCAATAGAGCTTGTTGGGTCCTCACTGTGTGGAATCTAAAATGGGATGGTGAATGACCCTGTGACACGCACTATTCAATTTTAGATGCCACACAATGATGAATCATAGAGGAAAGATAGAGGGACCAAGGAGAATCTGTGCAAGGCTAGTCAGAAATGAGACATCACACCCTCGGCTGCTGTGTGACAACATCCGCTGGACAAAGACAAGCAGCAGCCAGCCAACGAATATCCACAGGTGGCCCTGGAATGACAGCAGATCCCTGAAAGTCTGCCTAACGGAACCTTGAACTGAAAACATGATTCTAAGAACCCTCTATTCTGCTCCTTGTCAGAACAGCATCCTTGGCTGAGAAATGAGGCACAGTATCTTAGCTACAGTGCCAAAAGCATTCACAAGATTGAGGCAGAAATAGGTTAGGGGTTTGACATAACACTTTCAAAAGGCTGAAAATAAGCCACAAAAAAAAAGCACCCACCTCCTGGTGACCAGGTCATGTGGAGTCCTCTAGACATATCTCCCACATAGGGGCATAGGTGGTGTCAGTAGCAGCACTAGCCTAGACAGACATGGGCAGCACCCAGGTACAGAAGTCTTAGATGTGGGGACCAGCCATGAACGAGATCCTGTTGGTGATACCTGGATTGGACACAAGCCAGGCAGAGCAGTCAAGGGTGTTACACCCCCTCGCATCATCCCATGGAGTGACCAGGTTATTAGACATGGAACAGGGAAGTAGGGTTCCTAACAGCACTAAGACATGGTGCTCTCAGGAGGATCCCACAACAAAGCAGGAGCTGTCTGATGTGGGGAATCAGACCAAGGTCCCAAGTGTGACAAGAGTCCACCTCGGGCTGAAAGGCAAAGGCACTTTGTTCACACCAAGAGACTGAGGTGCAGCTCCAGGAACTACATGATCCAAAGGGGATTTCCTGGATGCCTTGATAAGTCAGCCATAGGCCATAGAGGTAGGGGCTGAAAAGCATTGGAAGGGGAATTTCCTAAAACTGGACCAGACAAATCTGGAGCAGTTGTCTATGGTAACCTATCGGCTTCTATCTTTCTTTTTCAAAGCTTAACTAAATAAACTGAGAAGAGAAGCATATTTGTTACTATGGGCAACTGCTCCAGATTCTGCCTGCTCCAGTTTTGATAAATTCACCTTATTTTATATTGTTACATGTTTCCATTTACAGAACAGAATTTGAAAAAAAAAAAACCCATAAAATTGCTGCTTACAATTTAATTTCTTGAAATAATTGAATTTTTCCTCTGAAATTCAAGCGGGCTGGAGAGGTTAATGTTTACATAATTAAAAGGAGAACTAAGAGGCGAGTGCTTTTCACTCACCTCATAGTTCTAGCCAACCTGTGACAATGACACTGTCACAGGTCGGCTCAGTAAATTGGGAGGTGAGCGAACACATACCGGCGTTCGCTCACCTCTCGATCCTGTCACGGCTTTCTGCTGTGACAGGGGAGGGGCTGGATTCCCCCCTCCCCACTCTGATCCGCCAGCGCTGACTGGCGGAACGGATGGGGGAGGGGACGGGTACAGCTGGCTCTGCCTCTAGATAGGCAGAGCCAGCTGTTAGTCACGCAGCTGGGCGGATCCCGGCACAATTGTCGGGATCCGCTTCAGCGTCTCAGTATACCGCGAGCAGCAGCTCACGGTATACTGCGGCGTCTCAGTGTAGCTCGCGGTATACTGAGCCTAGGGTGACGGGAGGACGCTAGTTTGTGTCCTCCCGTTACCCTAAGGAGAACTATGGGGAAAAGCCTTAACCCCATAGTTCTCCTTTAATCCCATCTGTACGGTGCTGGCAGATCTCGTTCAAAGTTGTAAACTAGATTTGAATACTGTCTGTTCAAAGTCCTGCTCCACAAAGATATCTAAAAAGGTGAAAAAAAAAATCTTTTTTTCCCCTTAGATACACTGAGTGGCCAGATTATTATGACCACCTGACGTTTGTAGGCAAATTAGCTATAATTAGCTATAATTTTGCGCTGAAGTTGCTAGAGGGCCAGACCATTATAAATAGGGAAGCAGGTTGTTTACCACGACAGTAGAAGTGATTTTTCTCTGAAGATATGGGTAAACAACGCGATTTAACAGCCTTTGAACGTGGGATGATTGTTGGCGCTCGGAGCCATGGAGCGAGTATCAGCAAAACAGCAGAATTCATTAAATGTTCAAGAGCAGCTGTTGTTAAAGTGTTTAAAGACTGGACTGTCAGCCGAAAATCTGGGTCTGAACGTGCGAATTGTGGCCGTCAGCGACTAGTCAATGTTAGGGCAGAACGGAGGGGGGCAAGACTGGTACAAGACCACAGAAGGGCAACAGTGCAGTGTCAGATTCCTCACATCACCTTTCAACATCTCGTGGCGTCACAAGGCCCAACGAAGTCATCTCGTGGACGAATGAAGTACTGATGGGGTGGTCATAATAATCTGGCCACTCAGTGTATATGCGAGATGTCTTACCTGCCAAGGATTTGTGTTTCTGTCTGTGTATATGCTGTGTGTATAGAACACAAACTCAAGTTTGACTGCAAAAGTGGAAATTAGGGATGTACCGATACCATTTTTTCCAGACCGATTACCAGTACCCGCTACTTTTCCTGAAGTACTCACAGATACCAATCAGATACTTTTTTTTTTATAGTGTCCTGTGAGGACTAAAAATTCCAGCAATGCATTATATAGCAAAGCAGACTGGCACCGGCTATGGAGAGCTACAAATCCCAGCAATACTTTATATAGCAATCTACATACTCTGTGCTGCTCTGGGTTGAAGGCCTGATTTCTGCAGCGGAGGGTCTCAGCAGGGGCCTGGGAGGGTGCGGGCAGCAGGGTTCCACAAGAAAGAGGAAAAATCGGTGGGCCATCGCTGTCAACAGACGCTGCATGGTTTACAGGAAGGCTTCCGGGTCCCCAGCAAATGCGGAACCTCAGGCAGCCACTGAGTTTAAAAATGAAAGTGCCGTATCAGTGTTTAGTATCGGGGCATTTTCACGAGTACGAGTATCGGTGCATCCATAGTGGAAATCCACATGGTCTTAAAGCAGGAACATTCTCTACAGAGACGGTTAAAGTCTTGTTTAAACAAGATAGCTGGGTCTAGGACAGGGGCAGCGCATTTACTAAGGAAACTCTCTTCCACAGGGTAAGTAAGCAGAGAGAATTTCAGGAGGGGGACTGTGAAGGGAAAGGAGAGGGGGCCTACTTGTGTCCCCTGCGATCTGTCTGAGGACTACAAAAAGGTCAGACATTTTCACCATGAATTCAGCCATTACTGAAGTAAACTCTTCTTTGCATGGCAGAGTAGGGAAGAGTGCCAAGGAGAAACCCGAGGTGGGTAGCAATGGGGTAGCAGAGGAGAGAAGGGCTAGACTGGACCTTTACCAGAACATTTGTTTGTCTGCGTGGCCTCACAACCTGCACCCAGATATCCCCACGTGTATTATGTACCATTGCGCGAGAGTAAAACCCCCAAGTAATCACAACTGCGGAGGCTGGAAAACGCATTATGTCCCAACATTGCAGTGCAGAAGCAGTGATCCAGTGAAGCAGTACAGAGACCTGAATCCCCTGTGCAGGATTGTAGTCAAAGCAGCAGCAAAGTGTGGCCAGCTCAGCCCACGCCAGAAGGAATATGGTGGGTGCTTGTGCAGTACAGCACCCCAGAGAGAGGCTACCTGAAATATTGGTGCCACATTTGAAAAGGGCAAATCCCTTCCCCAAACAGCTGCTACACTGGACACCTCTTGCAGGGACTAGCCCTGACTTGCCTAGTTCAAGAGCGGGTGTGACTAGATGAATGTCACAACCGTTTAGGGCACATGCCTCATCCAATCTCCCTCCCAGTGGGCATACCTGGCTCCACCGAGTTGGACCACAGCCCTGGACCTCTATAGCATCCAGCCGCAACTGCACGAGCTGGTAAAAGCCCTGAGGGTGTGCTTTTAAAAAATGTAGTGTTATTAAAGTTTAAACATTTTTCTCGTTTTTAACTGATAAGCCTCCTATGTGATAGCAGAGTGCAGGTGATATCTTTTCTTAAAAAAGGAGAACTATGGGGTTAAGGCTTTTCCCCATAGTTCTCCTTAGGGTAACGGGAGGACACAAACTAGCGTCCTCCCGTCACCCTAGGGTAGTAGCTCGTGGTATATTGAGACAACGCAGCTGAAGCGGATCCCGACAATTGTGCCGGGATCCGCCCAACTGCGTGATTGACAGCTGGCTCTGCCTATCGAGAGGCAGAGCCAGCTGTCCCCGCCCCCTCCCCCGTCCGTTCCGCCAGTCAGCGCTGGCGGATTGGAGCGGGGGGAATCCAGCCCCTCCCCTGTCACGGTAGAGAGCAGTGACAGGATCGAGAGGTGAGCGAACGCCGTTATGTGTTCGCTCACCTCCCGATCTACTGAGCCGACCTGTGACAGTCTCATTGAAAACCACTCACCTCATAGTTCTCCTTTAAAGAAACATTAGGGGTCTAGCAGTGTATAGAAGTGATGAGGTTTACAGCCTCCTGAATCACTTCTATGTGAAAACTGGCAACTGGAAGTAAAAATATAAACTAAAGCCAGCCATACACAGCTCAAATTTCAAACTGTGGGTGTCCCCGTCAGCCTCACAAACATCAACTGAAAAATCAAAATATGAGGAACTTGTACCCAGAGGAGAGCAATCTTACATTTATACAAGCCTTTACTTCTTGCGTTAATGGCCATACAAAACACATCGATTTGATGAAACAAATGCTTCAATATTCTGATCAAATGTAGCAATTTGTCAATTTTCACTAGATTTTCTTTGCTTTCAACTGATTGTGAGGGATCAAAACAGAAGATGAAAGTGACAGAATGAGCTGGAGAGTTCTGAATGTTTATATAGGAGGATATCAAGTTAAAATATTGCTTTTACTTTACAGTCATTTGTCATTTCTGTTGCATTAAACCATTTCAGTTATCAGAAAAATTACATATAAAATTGGTGCAAATGCACTTTAATATATTTGTAGTCTAACCATCTCATGAGTGGCCACAGTGATTCTAGCTAGAAAAGCTTTGACTACCCCAACCCAAAATGTATAGGCAGTCACATTGCTGTTGGTATGTTTTGCTCAACATATACATTAAGACTTTGTGCATGCAAATGGCATGTCAACATATTGTATATATGCCCTGGAAATGTGAAGATGCTATATGTCCATCACACACTTACTTGTGTTCCATTGCGGATGAATCTTTTTTTCGAGAGTCCGCTATCTCCACTCCATTCTTGGTCCAGTAGGTGATATTGACGGACCCAAGGCTTCCATTTTGGGTGAGGTTACACTGTAACAAAATGACGCCAGACTTTATCAAAACATCTTCACTGGCATTGATCAGTGGCCCTGAAAGAGTAATGCGTCAGTAATGATGATTAATACGATTTGTATAATTAGCTGTGCACAGCATATACCCTTCATTGACAACAACATAAATATATAATGGTCAGTTTCCCAACAACTCATTTAATATTACACACAAGGACAATGACAAACATATAATGGAGACACAAAATGTCAAAAGACAACATACAATCATTTCCCCAAGATTCGGAGCTCACACTTATTTTAATGCTTAATCTCATTTCTGTAGATACGTAGGCTTTCCCATGTAACGAACAAGATTAAAATACCTGCAGCAACATCCAGGAGCCTCACTTAGGCCAAACCAGGGCCATTTTGACAGGCAGAGCTTTTGGCATATCCTGCCTCCTGAAAATTCAGATTGCCCAGTAAAAAAAGCATATCATAGTGATGGGTCCACAGTAAAGATAGAGAGACTACGCAGAAGTAACAAAAACTTGCATAATAGCCTGGCATGCCAATGACGCAGGTATGTGCATCGCTGCAACTTGCAGGCACCCTCTGTCCACACTTCAAACCGGTCAGCAATTTTTGGCTTTGTCCTGATTAAATATTAACTGCCCAGACAAGGACTCAAATATGCAAAGAAATATATGAATCTTAATATTCTTGTGCCAAGTTAGCTTTGTTGCTTCAACTGCTCATTACCTTTCACAAAACTCAAGATATTTGACCTGTATTTACATTTTTATATTGTTGAATCCCAATTAACAACATTTTGTTTACCTGTTATGCTGCATAACAAGAATATGCCATTTGCCTTGTTATGGTGCGTGTTTACTACTGTAAAAGCTGTCCTGTGTAGGCAGCATGCTGTAGAGCTGGACCGCTGCTTTCACACAGAACACATCAGTCCGGGTCCACAGGCCTGATACTTGCCCTGCAAAGCACTTCATCAACACTCATGCTCCCCGAGCAGCGTTATGTCAGTTATATCTTGACAGATAAACTTCCCACACCCATGAACTGCAGGTGACCTACTTTTCTTCAACTCTACAAGTATTATTTTAGGTCGTTTTAATGAACTTAAATGCACTTTGCCCATTTTTCATGAGGTCAAACATTTGTGTTTTTTGCAGCGCCTCTATTCAAAAAGAGTAAGAAAATGCACATGTCAGTCTGTGCACATTGTTGTAGGGATGAGCTCAGGTTCTGGCTGAACCCAGGAATTCACATAAGCAAAGGGGCGGGATGCAGTGACATAATTGACCTTTTATGGCTACATACCTATATTTGGTAATCAATTACCCAATATTGTCATGTGGCCTTAAAAGTAAATGACATCAGTACAAGCATCCCACCCCTTTGTTTACATGCAGCTACAGGGCAGAGAATGCCCAGACAGCAGCTGATTGAGTGGAAGTGGCCATGACACTTCCTTGTTTGGAGAGGATTAGGTTTGGTTCGGGTTCAATCTAAACCTGAGCTCATCATCTAGTTTATAGGTATGCGAAAGTCTCTCCATATATCAACTTGGTTTATTTTCAGTCCCCAGAAGCATCTGAAACTTTCATATCTATAAATGCGATTTACTGCAATTAGCATGAAGTGTTACATAGAGTACACGTTTACTGTCCTTTTATTTATCAGATTTTACAATCTATATTTGGCTGTTTTTGCACTTAGAAAAGCTAAGAGTGGCCATACAAAACCTGATTATAGCTCAATCTGAGCACTGCTTTCGATGATCCGGTTTACCTATGATGCAATCAAAAGCACTTCTGGTCTTTGGAAGCACCCATGACACAAAAATGCAACTTATAGGGAAAAAAAAATCTCTGCTCAAGAGGTACTGATCCATCCCTTTTCTATGTGGAAAAGAGAACAAAAAAAGTGAACCACACATGCGCCATATTACAGCAGAACATCCATTCAGGTTTAAGGATGGACAGATGTCTCATTGTCACTGATTCTATGTGACACATGTTCCTGTGGAAAACCAAAGGCTTGTAGCTGAAATGTAAATTTGGATAGTGATGGCAAATAGGATCAGGGGTGTGGACATTTAAAAAAAAAAAAAAAAAACTCCTTTAAAAAGTACTAAAGCGGGGATCCAAACCACTTGTCCCTCATAACAATCTACTTGCCCTGATACAAAAATAACCAAAACCGTATTTAACCATGATAAGGAAGCACTGCTTATTGGTCAGCGTGGTCTGGTGACCGAGTGCTCGCAATTTGCAAGGAAAATTGAAAATCTATAGTGCAGGGCAACACTGGACAGCAGTATGGGGTACAGATCGTAAACCCGCGCCAGCGAGGGGAAGGACCGTTTGCTGAAATGTAAGTATAGCCGGGGGCGTCAGATTTTATCGGCTAATTCCATGTTCCCAAATTACTTGTGAAAGTTAACTTCCCTTTAATGCACATTGTGTGTGTGTAAAGGTGGCCATACACTGTACAACCATCGCAAGACCTTAGTCTTGCGATGGTTGTAAAGTGATTTTAAAAAAACGTACGATCTGCCCATCTTGGACAGGCAGATCGTACTCTCGATCATCGCAAGCCCGCCCCCCTGAGGGGCGGGCTTCCGATGACCGCAATGCTGAACGGGCAGTGTGTGCGTGCGCACACCGGCCCGTTCGGCATTTGTCTCCCGAGCACCGTTCAAACCAGCTGAAAATCGTTCGATTTTCGGCTGGTTTTCTAGCGTGCTCCTTAGACAAAAGACGTGCGACCGTACAGTAGAAACGGTCGCACGTCTCCGTTCACACTGCTCGATTCTCGTACGATCGCGGGATTTCCCGCGATTCTCGTACGAGAATCGAGCAGTGTATGGGCACCTTTAGAGAGCACCGCAATATGTCACACTGTATGCCTAGCCCGATTCCCGAGCTTCCAGTATCAGCCGGGAAGCCGTTTCCTTGCCCCCTCGTCACCAAGTGACGAGGAAGCATGGAGCAGGATTTCTGGCCAATCAGGAAGCCGGGCGCTGTGTAATTACACGTCTCCCAGGTCATTACCCTGGCTTTCCGATTGGCCAGAAAGCCAACTTCATGCTCCCTCGCCACCTGGTGATGAGAGAGCATGGAGCCTGCTTCCCGGCCAATCAGGAAGACAAGTGACATGTAATTACACAGCGCTCGGCTTCATGATTGGCCAGAAATCCTGCTCCATGCTTCCTCGTCACTTGGTGACAAGGGAGCATGGAAACGGCTTCCTGGCTAATCAGGAAGCCAGGTGGTGAGTCATTACACACTCCTTGCCATCCTTAATGCAGTATCGGTACTGATGAGTATGGAGTAAAAATATCGGCACTCGTACTCGAAAAAACTGTATCAGTGCATCCCTACCCTTTATTAACAGAAATATTTACCAAAGTGCTTAAGGCTACCCACATTCAAGGGGAGTTTTCTAGACCTGCAGCTTCTGTCCCTCCAGAAAAGGTACTGGTTGCAACATGACATTCACTTTATTATTACGGAAGAATGTATGCTGTTTGAATGCATTATCTACAGAATGCAGCAATAGGATACTTAGCATGGATGCCCTTCCTTATGCAAAACAAAATTGCTCATCTATCATGATCTGCACTTTATGCAGTCGATACACAACAGCTCGTGTTGAGTTTTAAACAAATACTATGATCTATGTTCATTTTAGTAGAATATTATCCCTTGTGCAGGTGGGCTTTGAGCTAAGCCTTGGTATGTAGTATTATACAGGTTTCTTTTATTTTAATAAAACACTTTTGACCTGAACCACTATTGAAATGTAACAGTTTTGTTGTTAAACTGCAAGGCA